TTTGTGTGTGTTTTTTAAACGTGGGCTGTTTGTAGAGAGAAGAACCTGTTTCTCGGGGAGCTTATACATTAAGTATAGCCAGGAGGCCAACAAATAGTTATGGAGCACCTGCTATTGCTATACGGTGTGCTGGGGAGACCCCGTCCTTGTCCTCATGGAGCTTATAATCTAGCAAGGGACATAGATGTCAAATTAGTAATTACAAGTGTGACACATGTGAGAAGAAGTCTGGGGTATTGTGGGAGTGAGTAATAGGGGGACTTGACCTAGTAGGGGTGTCACAAGAAGGAAGGGATATTTAGGCTGAAACCTAAAGGACAAGGAAGACACAAAGTTCCTGGTGGGCATGAAAACCTCCACGAGCTCACAGTACAGAGACTTGCTGGACCCCTCCCCGTGGTGTCACTTACAAGCAACTCTGGGGGGAAGATGGGCTCCTGGGTGGGATCCAGGGGCGCAAACTCCTCTGGTTTGAATAAAGATGGTGAGAGAGTAACCTGTGGGGAAAGAGAACAGGTAGGTGATACAGTGTCCCCTCCTTTCAAATGCCCTGTGGGACTGACCCAGCCCTTTCTCCAAGTGAGCTTGTTCCCTGCCCCCAGCAGCCTGGTAGAGGGGCAGGCAGCTCCTGGGAAGCAGGAACAGGGAGGTCTTGCCAGAGGGCCCAGGGCTAAGGTGCATTTTCACCCCCATATGGTCTGGCCATCACCAACTCTCGCAGTAGTTTCCTCTTCCAGCCACTCCTGTTGGGGATGTGGGGAGAGTGCCCTGACTCCGCTGAGCCTGAGATTGCCCTCCATGTAAGAGGAAAAGCACCCCTTACCATATGGTCTTTCTTCTGGTTCATGCAGCAGTTGGGGTTGTCCCCATTTCCTCCACAGCATCCACCATCCTAGAGAGACGATGAACATTTGCACAGGGATATTACCGAAGAGTTTTCACAGAAGTAAAGGAACCTAGATTATTACTAGTTCGTGAACTCCAGCTATCCCAGCATCGACAGGAGCAGCAGAGACCCGCTTGCCTCTGTGTGTGGAGTTGAGGCCTCTGCGACATTCTCTCCTACTTGGCTGTCATAGATTAAATAACTCAGAGATAAACAGATAGAAGCAACAGGAAAATTTAATGTCAGGAAAATTTCTCCATAAAAACTCGATCCTACTTTATTGCAATATAACTTTCTGCCCATTTTCCTCTTCAGTGCTGCTTCCTTAGGAAGTCTCTGAGAGAAATTCCCATCAGTTCCCTCATGACTCAAGAGGCTCTGCTTCCAAATCAGCCAAGTTCTACGGGGCTTATTAGGCATTTCTTCCCAGGAAGCTAAACACTCTTCACGCCTCACCATGAGCCTGTCCTGGAGGACGTGTACCTCAGATCACCCATCATGTACAGGGAAGGACTCGCTCAGGACCTCTTGGGATGCGAATGGCAGGGCATGAACAGAGCCCAGAATCTCTGCCTCCCAGAACCCAGGCACTGCAGGAGAGGGCAGGACTGGGAAAGCCTGCCTGATCTTCTCCAAGAAGGCAGGAGTTGCAGCTCAGGGCTTCAGGACATTGCATAATCGTGAAGTTGTGCTGAGATGTAAAAGTGGGGAACACTCATAGGCACCACCCACGCACTTTTCTGGGGTAGCTGATTCCTGAAGGAGCAGGCTGGGGGTAGCCCTTCTGTATGTAAGCCACGGGAGACATCATTCCATGCTGGCCTCTCCCAAAATATAGTCACAACCCACTATCTTTCCCAAGAAAGCTCTCAGAGGGCCATGGAGGCTGGAGGTGCAAACTTTGAGAACTTGTAAGCTCAATCAGGCGATGGCATCCGCAGAGAAATCCTCTCTTGCCTGGACGCCTGCACGCGCTGCTCGACATGCAGACTCCTGTGGAATTCCCAGCTTTACCATTGACGCCAGGCTTGCTCTGTCTATTCTGGGCCTTGCCACTGCCACCTTGCCCTTCTCCTCTATATTGAGACAGTCATGCCCCTTCTCACCCTTCTTCCTGCAGAAGGAGCGATGTAGGGGGAGTCCCATGCTCTGCTGGAAGCAAGAGGAACTGCGTATTCTAAGGCACTAGCCTCACCCACGTGGCCCTCCCGAGGAAGGACATATTTCACAGAAGCACATCTTCCAAATAATTAAAGTGCCTGCACATTACTACTTAGATATTTCTTCTTGATAATTCATTGGTATGTTTATGACATAAATGATTGCAATGTACAATAAGGTGTCACTGCCCTTAAGGTTTACCGAGGTCGGATAAGGCTGAATTTTCCCATCCCCGCCCTCCTAGGCTGATTTATTTTCTCTCAATGCCTTGAATATTTTACTTCATTCTCTTCTTCTTGCCTGGTTTCTGAGAAGTCAGATGTAACTCTTATCTTTGCTCCTCTACAGTTAAGCTCTGTTTTCCTTTGTCTTCTTCCACGACATTTTTCTTTATCTTCGATTTTTTGAAGTTTGGATATGATATGCCTTGGTGTAGTTTTTTGGATTTTGTTGTTTTTTTGTTTTGTTTTGTTTATTGTTGGGTTGTTTGTTTTTAATTTATCTTGCTTGGTGTTCTCTGAACTCCCTGGCTCTGTGGGTTGAAGCCTGACATTAACTTTGGGAAATTCTGTCATTATTGCTTCCAATATGAGCGTTGCTTCTTTTCCTTTTTCTCTTACTTCTCCTTCTGGTATCCCCAATACAGGCATGTGACATTTTTTTGTAGTTGTCCCGTGGTTCTTGAATTTTCTGGTTGTTTTGTTGTTGTTGTTGTTGTTTTAATTCACTCAAAAATTTTTCTCTTTGATTTTGGTTTTGGAAGTTTGCACTATCATGTTCTCAAGCTCAGAGATTCTTTTCTCAGCCATGTGCAGCCTACCGATGAGCCCACCAAAGGCAGGCAGTCTTCATTTTGTTACAGTGTTTTTGATCTCTAGCATTTTTGTCCATCCTCTCTTAGAATTTCCATCTTTTTGCTTATATCATCCATCTGTTCTTACATGTTGTTTACTTTTTTCACTACAGCTCTTAGCATATTAATAATAGTTTTTTTAAATTCCTGGCTGTAAATAGGCCTTTAGTTTATGTATTGGTAAGGTGTAGGGGAGGGGAAGTGATCAGTAGCCTTAGGATTAGATCTCACTC